CCCCACCTAGGCCCCGGTGGCAAGCTTCACGTGCGTCCTCAAGTCCAGTTGCGCGCACCATTCACACGCTTCGTGGCCCCATAGGGAGGTTCACCGAAACTCGCGATGGCAAAGATGACGCGCGTCATTAGGCTTAGGCCGGCACACCCCTGACATTCTTCGTGGCCCCATCAGGAGCTCCACCGAATGCACCAGCGGCAGGGTTCACGTGCGCCCCCCCTCAGGCCCATTTCGGCACACCATAGCGTTTCGTGGCCTAGTAGGGAGCGCCACCGAAGGCCCCAGCGGCAGTGTTCACATGCGTTCTCATGCTCATTCGCCACATACGCACACACACACACATCCCACGCTTCGTAACCCCATATGGAGCCCCACCGAAGGCCCATGTACCGGGGCTCGCGGCCCCCTGGCTATTTTGGAACACCACTCACACGCTTCGTGGCGCCGCAACGAACTCCACCGAAGGCCCTTGGCATGCGCGTCCCCCCGCCCTTCGGTGCCTCTTGCCGCCGCCCGCCACCCCCTGCCCGCACTGCCCAGTGCCTCGTCCATCCGGCGGCGCGCTGCTTATGAGGGCCAAGGCTATGTCCCATGTTTTTCACAATTTGTTCGCCAACCTGCATCGGCCCAATTCCCTGGGGGCACCCACATCTGCACGTGGTTGGGTCTTCCGCCGGGCGGGCTTCCCCAGATCACAAGTATTGCCTACTCGTTATGAATGTGACGTTTCCTTCTCCGCTTTCCTTCTTCTCCCCCTCCCCCAATGTCAGCTTATGGTCAACAAATCTGTGGTGGGGTGGGGGGGCGTGTTTTTTTTGTGGTGTGTGTGCTTCCATTTACACAAATGTTTATATCTACATATATGTACGTCTACATATTATAAATCTATATGCGTATATTTGTACAACAACCAAAAAAACTTCCCTGCTCGGGCGAATCGCGGGGGGGGGCGCATGTCAAGTGGCGATTAGCGCCGACACCAGGCCGACAGCAAGAGGGCGACAGGCGCGACGCAAGCGGCGCCGCTTCAGCGGAGGGGGACAGCAGCGCCTCCGATATGGCGGGGGACAAAGGCACCTCGGCTGGCGGGCGGCGCTGGCAGGGTCACAAACAAAAAAGGGAGAGAGGGGGAGGAGCGGAAGAGGCAGGCGGAAAGGGCTCCTCCTTTTCCTTTTCCCTCCCTCCCCTTCCTCCACAACAACGTCCTTCGACGACGACGATGACGACGACGACGACGAAACCGAAAGACGACGACGACGACGACGACGACGACGACGACGACGACGACTGCGACGGCGACGGCGACGAAGACGGCGACGGCGGACGACGACGTGCTGCGGATGCTTCATGGGAGCGGGGGTGCTGCGCATGCCAGGTGTAACCGTCGACGGCGACGACGACGACGAGAAAAACGACGACGACGACGACGACGGCAATCACGACGACGACGACGACGGCGACGGCGACGACAAAAACGACGACGACGACGACGAGGACGACGGCAACCACGACGACGACGACGAGAACGACGACGCACTGCGGCCCAGCAGGGGGGTGCTGCAGTCGACGACAATGGCGTCGACAACGGTGACGGCGACGACGACGCACTGCGGATGCCTTAGAGGGGTGGGGGTTGCTGCTAAGGCCCGCTATCATCGTCGACGACGGCGACGAGTAGACCCAGTGATGTCGACGACGACGACGACGACGACGGAGGAGGACGAGGAGGACGAGAGTGACGAGGACGAGGACGATGTCGAAGACGACGGACGGCGACGGCGATGACGACGACGACGGCGCACTGCGGACACCGTATGGGTGGGGTGCTGCTGCGCAGACCCGTAGTGGCTGTAGCCGACGACGGCTACGACGACGCCGACGATTACGACGGCGGCGACGGCGACGACGACGACGATGACGACGACGACGACGACGACGTCGACAGCGCGACGGCGACGGTGACGACGACGACACACTGCGGATGCCGCATGGGGGGGCTGCGTAAGCCCGCTTTAGTCGACGAGGTCGACGACGACGGCGACGATGATGACAACGGCGACGACGACGACGACGCCTGAGAGGGGGAACGAAACTTCGCCTCGGATGTATACGACCGCTACAACAACTTCTATACGAAAGGCAATCGGTTTGAGGCTGTCATGCAGGGGGGTACACGACCCCCTCGGCGGCGCCCGCGACGACCCCCTGGCGCGCGTGATCAAAAACATGTGTCGCGCCCCGCGGGGTCTATTCATCAGCGCCTGGGGCGGGGGCCATCATAATCACAAGCTGACATTGCCTCCGCTTTCGTCCTCAGACCCACTCACTTGCAGAGTCGCCTTGACACTCAGACTCGCACCGAAACGCAGACGCACTCACACTCAGACTCGTCACTCAAGCTCACTAAGACTCAGACGCGCTCGTACTCAGGTACACGAAGACTCAGACACACTCACACTCAGACTCACCTCTCTCATATTCAAACTCATACACACTCAGAGCCACGCGCTCGGACTCACTCGCGGATCCAGCTCTCACTCAGGCTCGCCTCATGGCGAGGCTGGGGTTTCAACACCCCCATGGGGAAACGACCAGGTGGTGTCTAACGGGCTCGCTCGCGCCTACTTTGTGGGGATATCTCCGGCGCTTGCCTGCTTGGTGGCGTGGGCATCTCTGCTCTCAAGACACAATAGGACGATGTCTCGAGCGAGACGCCGGTTTCTGCCAACCAGGGGGGGCGCCGCCAGGGGGCTGTGTCACAGGCCCGCTCGCGCTCAGACTGCGGGGTTGGCTCAAGCGGTTGGTTTGTTTGGTGGCGTGGACTGCTCTGCTTTCGAAACAGACGTTGGATTGCAGGATTGCAGGGTTTTTTTGCAATCCTTGGTTTTTTTTGCAATCCTTCGTTTTTTTTGCAATCCTTCGTTTTTTTGCAATCCTTCGTTTTTTTGCAATCCTTCGATGCCTCGAGAGAGGCGCGGGTCTCAGCACCACACGGGGAGAGCCGCCGGGGGGTCGACTCACGGGCCCGTTGGCGCCCGGACTGCGGAGGTGGCTCCGGGCGGTCTGCCCTGCGACCACATGTCGCGTGGGCTCCTTCGCTTCCGCGGCAGGCTGTGAGGATGCCCCGAGCGAGGCGCTGGCCTCAGCACCACACGTGGGTGAGCCGCCAGGAGGCTGTTTCACGGGCCCGTTCGCGCCCAGAGTGTGGGGGGCTGTCTCAGGCGGTTTGCCTGTGTGGTGGCTTGGGCTCCTGCGTTGTGAAGCGAAGGGCGCGGGCCCCGTCGCTCTTACTGAAACGTGGGAAGCGGCTGGCGCCCCCTGGCCAAGACCCCCAACGTCAAGAGGAGGAGGAGGAGGAGGCGGAGGAGGAGGAAGAGGAGGAGGATGAGATAGTGGAGGTGCGTAATGCCTTCCAAGAGGGACCCGCCAGATAGTCTCATAGGCCCGTTCGCCCCCAGATTGCGAGGATGTGTCAAGCGCTCTGCTCGTTGGGTGGCTCGGTTTTGCACCTCCGACTCCTGTCCATTCAGAACTCCATGGTCACTTCGATGTAGGGAGGAGGACGGCGGCCAGGAAGGGGGAGGGAGGACGGAGAAGGAAGGAGGAGGACGCCGGAACATGGAAAAGGGAGGAGGAGAACGGCGGCCAGGACGGAGGAGGGAGGACGGATAAGGAATGAGGAGGGCGCAGGAATATGGAAACAGGGGGAGGACGGAAGAGAAGGGAGGTGCTACGACGAGTAGTAAGAGGAAGGAGAGGGAGGGGGCCTGCTCACCGCTTGTCTGTCTGTGCGTTGTCGTCGTCGCTGTCCCTCGTCGTAGCCGCCGCCGCCGTCGTCGTCGTCGTCGTCGTCGTCGTCGTCGTCGTCGTCAAACACTCGGACTCGCTTTCACATCCAAACGCTCACGGCCAGACACTCACACCTGGACGTGCCAGGAAACGAGATGCTCATACGGGGAGCTCCGCGTCGAATCACTTTCAACATGGCTCCCCAAAGGTCTGGACCCCTTCCCCGAGGACCGGCTTTTCACCCTGAATCGTTAGCTGACGGTCTCTGGGCCCAGTGAGGGCTCACAGAGGACAGCAGCCGGCAAAGACCTCCCGTCCCCCGCCGTGATGCTTCTACGACGCGAGGATGTCGGGGCCGTGCCCAAGAGACGGAGAAAGACGAGGCACTGGACCGGTGACTTCCGTGCCCCCGTGGAGCTCCGTGGCAGGCTACGCAGCAGCAACCTTCTGCACACAAAAAAAGAGGGGCCCGCGCGGTAAACTTCGACTCCGCGCGAGATCACGGAGGAACCAGAGACGGCATAAGCAGAACTCCTCGGAGCCCCGCGCGGACTTCTCGGATCGGCTCTGGGCCCCTCTCCCTGGCACGCGGACCGCGCCAGGGGCGGCGCTGGAGGCGCCGCCAGCGGGGCCCAAAGGCCGAACGAAGAAGGCCGCGTAACGATCCGCGGAACCGTTTTGTTCTGGGAGACTTCGCCTCCGCGCGAGAGCACGATGCGGCGGGCGCGAGGCGCGTACTCTTTGCGTCAGGCAAACCTGGGACGACTGGAGCCGTAGAGTTTGTGTGGCCACAACGATCGCCCTTATGCACAACGGACTGCCAAGCTACGGGGAACAACAGCAGCGTGGTGCGACAGAGTGCAGCACGAACAAGGCTGGGCAACGAGAGCCCGAGGTAGATGGATCCCAGCGGCGGGTACTCGAACTTGCACACTGCAATAGAGGCCTCCTAGATGGTGTCGGAGTAGATGGGGTCGGAGGATCGCGCCGCATCGTCGATACATCGGCGATGCATCACCGATGCATCGGCGATGCACCAGCGATGCATCGTCGACGTGGGCAATGCATCGGCGACGCCGACATCGAGCTCCACATCGAGCCGCATCGTCGATGCATCGGCGATGCGGCGCGATCCTCCGACCTCATCTACTCCGACCCTATCTGGGAGGCCTAGATGCAAGGGCCCCCCCGATCCTACCGCCCCGAGGCGCCTCCCCCTCCTCCTCCTTGGCGACCACGGGGCGGTCTTGGGCGACACGGCCTCTACCTCCCGCCGCGCGCATGGGTCCCCCAGCGCCACGCATTGGCCGGGTGAAGGGCCGGGAGAGGGGCGTGGGGTCCAGGGGGGCCGCTTCGGCTTCTCGGCCCGGGTTCCGAAGAGAGCGGGTGGGAGGAGGGAGGCGACAGGAGGGGAAAAGGGAGGGGGAGGGGGAATATGCAGGAGAGAGGGAGGGGGAAGGGAGGGGAGGGGAGCGGGGAGGGGGAAGAGGCAGGAAGAGGGGCGGCGGGAAGGGGACGGGGGGACAAGGGGATAAGGGGAAGGGGGCGGAAGATCCAGGAAGCGGGAGGCCCACAGCGGGGGCGGACGGGCAACGGGCGACGGACAAAACTGGATTGGGGGGAGTGGAAGAGGGGAGAGGGGCGGCGGGGATGGAAGGGCGGCGGGGGAGGGCGAGGGGCACGGGGGAGGGGAAGGGAGGGCGATAGGGCGGAGGAGGGCAGGGCCAAGCATGAGGCCATCGCGAGCTGCCCCAACAAGGGGTCCCGCGGTGGCAGTCTGACACGCTCGTGGAGGCCAGGGCAAGAAACAGGAGTGCCAGTGTGCTCTGCAAGGCCCGTGCTCTGCCTCCGACGGAGGCCTCAAAGACGGCCTCTGATGTGCCTCCGGCCCTTTGCGGCGCCCCAGCGTTTTCCACGAGGCCCTCAGAACGGCCACAATGACGACATCCCCCAATCGACCCCCCCCCTCCTCCTCCTCCTCCTCCTCCTCCTCCTCCTCCTCCTCCTCCTCCTCCTCCTCCTCCTCCTCCTCCTGAGGCAGCCTAGACCCCCTCCCCCTCCACGGCCCCAAGACCTCCCAGGACGAGCCCCCGACCCCCAGATGGCGCATCCAGGAAGGCCTGGGCATAAAAACATATTGCCATATCTCGGGGGCGCATCTCCTATACTTCCACCAGCTTCCTCCGGCTTCCGCCGGTGGAGTCGCCCTCGTGTTACCCCCGCCGCCTTCCGCCGACCTTCCGACGCCTTCCGCTGGGGGGGAAGATGTGTCAACTCCTCCGATCATCGAAGGCCCCTTCTGGAACACCCCGAATGCTCCAGAGAAGCCCGCGAAGGGCCCAAGGATGCTAAGGCGCCGTGTGAACACCCACGAGAGCCTCGCGACAACCATGCCGTGCCACGGCCATGCTGGGACCGCGTCGCCTGGGACCTCCCCCTCGTGGCAGCGGCTTCTGTGAGCCAGACCAGCGGGAGGGGGAAGGAGGAGGAGGAGGAGGAGGAGGAGGAGGAGGAGGAGGAGGAGAAGGAGGAGGAGAAGGAGAGGGGGAAGGAGGAGGAGGAGGAGGAGGAGGAGGAGGAGGAGGGAGGAGGAGGAGGAGGAGGAGGAGGAGGAGGAGGGAGGCGGAGGGGGAAGGAGGAGGAGGAGGAGGAGGAGAAGGAGGAGGAGGAGGGAAGGGGGATGGTCGGTCTCCCCTGTCACGCATCCGCTCGCTCAGCGCTCGCCCTCTCCGGTCGGACGATGCTCCCCCCTCCTCCCCTTCTTCCTCCTCCTCCTCCCCATTCTTCCTCCTCCTTCTCCTCCTCCTTCTCCTTCTTCCTCCTCCTTCTCCTCCCCTTCTTCCTCCTCCTTCTCCTCCCCTTCTTCCTCCTCCTTCTCCTCCCCTTCTTCTGCCTCCCCTCCCTGCCCTCCTCCGCGTCGCTCAATCTCCTCCCCGCCTGCGCTGCAGGCCAACTGAGCGACGACACGACGGGCGTTCTCGTATACTCTGGTGTTCGCAACGAGGGAGCCTCGGCGTTTCCGCACACACGAACTTACACCCATGCGCACCTTTCATCGTTTCCTCAGTAGACACGACCCAACCACGGGACGCGCTACGACCAGGAGGCGACGAGTAGCACTATCGTTGCGCCCCCAAAGCGCGGTGATAAATATGTGCGGCAACTCGACTTGACACTGTACAGGTGACGCATGGCTACGACAACGAGGGTCAAACAAGCACGAGCCCCATCGCTAAAGGGCCAAGGCCCCATAGAGATATCCCCACCGAAGAACATCCGAAGGTGGTGGGCCCACACTCGAAGAACCTTCGGATATCCCTCTCAAGCCAAGGTTGTTCTTAACCCTCGTGCCAACTGTTGGGGTACGTGCGGGTCAGTCACCGTGCCGCGTGGCACCGAGCGGAGTGCCGTCTCCGAGTTCTCTGCACCGCATTTTGCTGCACGTGCTAGTGAGGTGAGCCAGGGCCCACTCTGTTCTGAGCGCCGTTGGGTGTGCCCCGTGACTTCTCCAAACGCCTCGGGATCGATGCTGGGAGTCGAAGCCTCGGGCATGCTCCGAGAGTGTCTCAGGAGCCCGCACTGGCGCTCTCTTTGGGGCCTCTCGGGCCGTCTCTCCGAGGCCCGAGGGGCTTTCCCAGGAGGCCCAAAGTATTCAAACACCAGATGTCTGTGTATAACATAATATAACATAACATAATATAATTCAACATTATATAATATCGTAAAATATAATATTATATATTATAATATGATATAATATAATATAATATAATATAATATAATATAATATAATATGATATAATATAACATAACATACTATTGTATTACATAATGTGATATACGATAGTTTAATATGATATAATATAATAGACTATACTACAAAATAATATAACATAGTATAATATAATTAAATATGTTATACTACAATATAATATGATAGACTATCATTTCATATCTTATAATATGATATCATATAATATAATACAATATAATATACTATACTATAATATAATAGGATAAGATAAAATATAATACAATATAATGTAATAAACTAATATATAATATAATATAACAAAATATAATATACTATATACATACTATTTCCGTACTCGCGCCCTTTCGGCTGTAAGAGCGCCCAGGACGGCCCAACGGGCACCAAAGATCACCCCAAGATAGCCCTGGAGGCTCCCAAGGGGCCCCGAGGCGGCCCCAATTGGGGCCGGGCCCACGAGGGGGAATACGAACTGACAGCTGGAGCCCGCCACCCGAAGATGACCCCCGAGAGCGTCTCCAGGCCGCCAGGAGGCCGCCAGATGCTCCCAAGAGGTCCCCAGGAGGTCTCCAAGATGCCCCAGACGTGGTCAACGATTCAAGCACGGTGACAGGATGGGCCGAATACCACTAGATACTAGATCGCAGCGTGAACAACTATGCGGAAACAAATCGTGAACAAAAAAAATCGCACCCAAACCCACCCACACAACCACAAACACAAACACACAAGCAAACACCCACAACACACAAACACACAGACACACACACACACCCACATAGACCTGCACACAAGCGCGCGCACACACTCACACACACACACACTTTTTGATCTGCGGGGCGAGAGCGAACCTCTTCCGCTAAAAGCCTCACACACACACACGCACAAACATACTCACTCAGAGATGCGCGCACGCGACTGCAACATTATCTGGGTCACCGCCCGGTACGCGGTTATACTGTAATGCGCGCAAGTCGTGCAGTACATGGTGGTGTACTTCCCTCTATTTTACAACGCACCCCATACAACACAACATCGGGCGGATAAGGTATGACATGCTTCGAACACATGAGATGACACGCTATCGTCTGGCAGTGCATGGCATGATCTGACATAACATAGGTGACCTGACATGGCAATCGCGCATCATGAGGACGGCACCAATCAAAGGATATGTCTTGGGGCGTGCCTGGTCGTCTCGGAGGACTATCCTGGGGCCGCGTCAGGGGCCGTGTCAGAGGCCGTGTCAGGGAACGTGTCTGGGGGCGCGTCTGGGGGAGAGCCCAGGGCCGTGCATGGAGGCATGCCAGGAAACGTGTCTGGGGACATGCCTGGGGCCGTGTCTGGGGCATGCCTGGAAGCGTGTCTGGGGACGTGCCTGGGGACGTGTTTGATTCCGTGTCGAGGGTTCACATGCCCCCCCCCAGATGGGATAGCTTCCAGGGTTCCACGACTTCCCCCCCATTGGGATGACGATGACGACGAAGCCCACGCCGACGCCGACGACGACGCCGACGGCGAGGGCGACGGCAACGGCGCCGACGCCGACGCCACGGCGACGCCGACGCCGACGCCGACGCCGACAACGACGCCGCCGACGCCGACGACGCCGCCGACGACGCCGACGGACGACGACGAAAGACGAACGACGAACGACGACGACGACGACGACGACGACGACGACGACGACGACGACAACGTCGACGACGACGACGACGACGACGACGACGGACGACGCCACCGCCGACGAAAACGACGCCGACGCCGACGCCGACGACGGCGATGGCGACGGCGACGGCGATGGCGATGGCGACAGCGACGGCGACGGCGACGGCGACGGCGACGAGGACGCCGACGCCAACGCCGACGCTGACGCCGACGCGGACGCCAACGCCGCCGACGGACAACGACGCCGACGCCGACGACGCCGCCGGCGCCGACGAAGACGAAAACGACGTGGGAGAGAGGGGGGTGCACTGGCATCCTCCACCACGCCTTGCCCTCAGGGCCGCGACCGCAAGGGGAGGGGGGGAGCGGTCCCATTCGCGAAACCTTTTCGAGGCTCACAGGCGTACCCATCCCGCGGGGGGGGGGCTCGATCCCATATGCACTGGGGGGGAGGGGGGGGCAACCCTGGATCACACACACACACACACACACACATATATATATATACACACGCACGCACATATATAGATATACATGTATGTATGTCTGTATGTATGTCTGTATGTCTGTATGTCTGTATGTCTGTATGTCTGTCTGTCTGTATGTCTGTATGTATGTATGTATGTACATATGAGTGCTAGCCTGGGGACGTGTTCGGGGGCGTGGCCCTGTTTGGTGACGCGTCCAGGGCCGTTCCTCGGGGCCTGTTTTGGGATGCGCCTGGGGCTTGTCAGAACGCGCGCTAGGGCCGCGTCGGGAGGCGTGCCCGCGGGCATGTCGCGGGACATGCATTGCGGCGAGCCCGGGGGCGTGTGTGTGAATCGCCC